AACAAGGCGAGAAAATCGTCCTTCACATTGGAGCTCACTTTTTCGATGATAGAAAACTCCTCAGGTTTTTGGGGAATGGGCGCGGGGGCTTCCTCTGGTCGGCGTGTCTGTTGAGTGAACCGCGACATCAGACGCAGCAAGCCGGTTTCTTCTTTTGTGGTCGATTCAACAGTTTCATCATCTGTGCAAATAAAAAAGAACAAGGCTCTTTTTCGAAATTCTGGGACACGCTTTCAGATATATAGGGGATTAAAACTATTACAAAATTTGATCACGTAAAATTAGGTCAGAAGTTCGTATTAAGGTGACTTGTGATATAACTTACACCACCTACTGAACACCAGTAGAAATCCTTAGAAAACGAAAGTAGTCGAGCGATATGAGGCCAGAGAATGTATTTCTATTCCGGCTATTAAAGGTGGTAATTTGAGGTAACGTATCAAAAAACGCGCGGCGCAAAACGCAGCATAGCGATTTGAGATGATAATGAAACCCGTTTTGCCGTTAGCTCGTGAAATCTTCGTTCACTAACTTCAATAATACCTGTAACCTATAGTCGGCTTAGTAGTGCCAACTTGAAAAAAACTTGCCTCTGAGGCGCTTCCAATTGCCAATGTCAGTCCCAATAAGCTAGCCAGCCGACTGTTTAGACATAATATTTGTGAGCAACAAGGCAGTATAAAGCCTCAGCGCACACTAACCATTTGCAAGCATTACGATTTAGAGGAACACATTGGGCAGTTTAGGCCGATATCTGAAGCGCAGGTGGCAAAAATCAAAACCCCACAAAAGTTTGATCGACATACCTAGATCAATTATATCGTTCTCATTGGCCTTCAGCAGATTAAGAGGAGGTAGATTTTCCGGTAACTTGAAGTGTTTTTGCTCTTCCTGCGACGTGGCATCGGTCGAGGTCACGGGTTCAGATGTTGACCCAGCAATGGTCGCACCACTATCAGACGGTTCTACGCCTTCATTCGCACCTTCGGGCGCCTCCTCGACCTCATCGTGATGGTTACTTCCAGGAACTGTCGGTTTGAGTGACGCTGGTAGTGGGCTTGTGGGTGTTACTGGAGGGTTCCTTAAAAGTACAATGTGATGGAACTATAAGGTGTACTACCCTGTTGTTCAGCAACGTAAGAAACCACTTTTAATGTTTGTCAAAAATCAAGAGAAGCTAATTTTAATGTTGCGAAAATTTTCATTAAAAGACTCAAAGGATAAATTGGTGAGCATACGGTTACTTTCGATAAATTCTCTTCAGGCCTGTGCATCTATTCATTTACCTGCTCCTGTGGGGCAGAATATGTTGGTCGCATGGACCGACGTTTGTCCAAAAGAGTACGAAAACATCTTGCAGCATTGCCAGGGAAGGGCAGAATAAAGAGCATTAACGGTTCCATTCTAGCGCACATAGCAGACTCGAATCATCGCGTGGAGGCCAGACAGGCTTTCCGAGTGATCTACAAGGTGCCCTGAAGCTATTTAAAATTTCTTGGATAGCATCTGTTGGCTGCGGCAAAAGCGGCTGCAATCAGGTTACGCAAGCGGTTCCTATGCGCCCCAAATAACTTCGTAAAGGCGCCCCAGTTACCATGGCCGAAAGTCGCCAATTAAACCGCCCGCAGCTTGTTACCTTTTCCGGCGGCCAGTCCCCCTTGACGCTGATCAGATTACTGGTCCTAATTTTGTCCCTTAACCCTGACAACCGCAGGATTTTTTCTATCAACCCGCAGATCATATTTAGTTAACTTAGATATAAATGTAAGCGCCTAAAGAGAATGTATCGAAAGCAAACGTGTGCTCGGCAAATTATCCTTAGAAGTAATTTTTTGAATACAATTTTCGGATACTCGAGTTGAAACCAATTTGAAGTACTGCGCGGGTGTAACAACAGCGAAAAAATCTTTTATTTTCAAGACGGCGAACAAAAGGAAACACAAGTAAACTTACGGTGCGTTCGAGTCTTCACTGTGAAGATGTGATCGAAACTCCGCAAATGAGGAGTACTGTTTGGGCTTGTACTGGGGCAGGACGAATGTATGTTCTGATATATTTGTAAAGTAGATAAGTTCTAAACAAACTAACCTCTCAGAAGACGCTGAGTTTCACTGTGAATTTCAAGTTTTGCGGACTCTTTAGTGGTCTCACCCTTTTCTGTCCCTGTTTTCGTTTTGCTGCCCTTCTTTCGAGCAGCACCCTTCACGAAATACATTAGAAAGGGGGATTTTTTTTGAAGTACCTTTGAGGCAGTCCACCGACCGACTTTTTCCCCTGAGTCATCAACCTCATCTTCGGATTGTTTATCCGCACCGTCGTCGCTCGAGTTATCCTCGTACTTTTCGTCTTCTTGCATTTCTTCTTCCTCATCGTTGAACGTCTTTTCGCCACAGTCAATCAGTGCCGGTGATGTGGGTGAATTCACCACAGGCTGGTCATCTTCGTCATCGGAATTAGTCAAACGCGGAGAGGCAATTTCGAGGTCGGGGGACTCTTTTGAAATAGTAGGGCTTTGCGTGTTTGGAGAAGTAGTTAGGGGATATTTTTGGGGAGATGATTTTGAGCCCTGTGATTTCGTGGGGCTTGGGTTATCTGCAAAGTTGTGGTAATGTTGAGGAATATGCAAAGACGTACCTAGGTCTTGAAAGTCGCCAAATATACTCTGAGGTTTAATCACTTCCGCATCGGTTACAGGGCTCACGGTGGAAACGGCAGTTTGGGGCTGCAAGGTAGAAAATATGTAATTTTCAAAACTAGTTGACGAACGGAAGACATTGCATAAAAACGTATATTGGATAGAAAAGCTAAAGTGGCACAGAGAACGTCCAAAGCCAACGGTGGATAGGAGGTAGCGACTGCAAGCCCTTTCTTAAAGCGGTAACTTAAAAGTGACTTTGATACTACTTGTGGTAGGAAATCTAAACGGCATCGAGTTGGCAAAAGCTGCAGCCAATTATTGGCCAGCAAGCCAGAACTGAAACATTTTATTTTGTACTTTCAGCTGGAGTATTTTACTTGTTAAGGTAAACACGTAGCGGCAAGAAATACCAGACAAAGTCATTTTTAGCCTTAGCTCTTCGAAGTGAGGACATTCACTTTGATAAGTTGGATCGACTGTTCGAAATAACAGTTTTCGCGCACGTTGTATACCGAATTTTCAACGTTTTACGCATTCTACACCGAAATGCGCTAAACGTTTGCGCAATGAACGCTAAGTGGATAAACGATCAATGGGAAGCTGAAGCGTACATCTGTCTGGCATAAAATTGGTATTACTAATAACTGTTTTAGGCTGCTTCTTCCCAAAGCGACACTTACCTCTTGACAGGGAGGAGACGGGCTGCGATCATCTTTTTCGGTAGGTTCTTCCATTTGAGGCATATGAGGTCGATGTGTCGTCTGTACCCTAAGAAATTATATATGCTGGTGAATTTTTGATCGGTTAATAGAAATACAAAGTGCACTGCGACTAAAGCAAGTTCAAGGATGGGAATGAAGTCCTCTTTGAGCAACAGACGCCTTAAGGGTACTTGGTTGTAGAAATTGCAATATTGATAGGCAATAATGTTAAAAAAAATAAAGTATAAATCAATCTTGGGTCTGCTTTAACTGAAATTTTAAATAGCAACGGATAAAAAGGTGATCGGGTGAAGACATTAGTTCGGCAACTCTCGCAAATGGGGTATGTTAGTCCCAAAAGTAGACAAAAAAAGACGTCGCTGTACCCTATAAACGATTATAATGCCACTGGTGCATGCGTTCCATGTCATTAGGGTTCCCTGAGGGATTAGCACGTGTGCTCTTATAAACACGCTTGAATATCAGCTGCTTAGAAGATAGTAAACGATATCAAGCAGGAGGCGTGCTGGTGTAC